TGTAAGAATAGAGGGAAGGCAGCTAGTCATCACTACCAACCGCCAACTCTTGCGCTACTCTTTTACCAACGAATAGTGGGATTGATTACATTATAACGCCCCCACGGCTGAAAGGGCGAGCATGTTTGGTGTGACGGGGATTCGAACCCGCGACCCGCAGATTGCGAGTCGAGTACCCTAACCACCTGGCCATGCTGGGCCCCTGCTTATATTTATTCATAATTAGAATAACTCACTGTTAAGCATTTTTTTCATCACAATAAGCTTTAATATTTAAAACGTAAAACAACAACAAAAACCAGAGACATACAAAAATTGATACAAGAAATTGAGCAAGTGAAACACTGTTAAACTTCACAGCCGTATGTTGTGCGCTGCAGATTTATTGTTAGTGCCTGATAATGTTAAGTAATATTTAACATTAAGCTTATAGGCAGAAAAAAAGGGAACGTCTGTAGGTAATTATAGTTTTCCTTAACCTGAAAAAATAGACTTTAAACATTTCAATGTTCAAAGAGAAACTAGTTACAAAATTTTATTTTAAATCACATACTTTTATAAAACACGTTTTCTTTATGTTACTGTAGTGACAGCAAAAGGCATTATTGTCTAACTTGACCAAAAAATATGTACAAACTGGAGACCATAAAATTGACTATACATATATATAACTGTCTATTTCTACTATATAGTCCCGTATTGTTGCTAACCTGATACAGAACTGTAAGCCTTAAGTTCAGAGAACACTTGAGCGAAAAAAGCAGGCTCACTATTAATGCACAACATTTTTTTACTGAGTAAATTGATGATCATCAGTGATCTTTCCCAAAACTGATTTCTGTTTTCTTCACCAAGAAACGGTTTTAAGGGGTAGGATATTTCGTTTCCCACATAGGAGTAAGAAAGATACAAACAAGTTAGAACGACACCCTGGAGCTCTCGCCGAGTCTCGGTATCCTCTGGAAGTATTTCCCTTACTAACATGAACAAAAATACAATGTTTGCTGGATTTAGAAAGGTAGTGTCCTGCCATCCTTTTATAAGCAGAGAACGGTCTACGGAACGAAGCCACAACACAGCATCTCCACCTTGAATGTCTTTCAGTTTTCGGCAATGGCCATTCAGAAACTCTCCAAAGCATCGAAGCAGTTCTGAGGTGGATGTTTGGACAACGGCTCTTCTTTGTACCCAAGGTACTGATGCTGGTCTTGTTGATGACACCATGTTGTGTCCATGCTGTTCTGAGGTGGATGTTTGACAACAGTTCTTCTTTGTACCCAAGGTACTATGCTGGTCTTGTTGATGACACCATGTTGTGTCCATGTTGTTCTGTAGGTGGATGTTTGGACAATAGCTCTTCTTTGTACCCAAGGTACTGATGCTGGTCTTGTTGATGACACCATGTTGTGTCCATGCTGTTCTGAGGTGGATGTTTGGACAACAGTTCTTCTTTGTACCCAAGGTACTGATGCTGGTCTTGTTGATGACACCATGTTGTGTCCATGCTGTTCTGAGGTGGATGTTTGGACAACAGTTCTTCTTTGTACCCAAGGTACTGATGCCGGTCTTGTTGATGACACCATGTTGTGTCCATGCTGTTCTGAGGTGGATGTTTGGACAACAGTTCTTCTTTGTACCCATTGTACTGATGCTGGTCTTGTTGATGACACCACGTTGTGATATGTGGGACGAATTGAGTTATAAGTGGTCAAAACGTTTGTAAGTTTGGATGGAAAAGGAGGGGTACTGTTTTTCTGAGAAAGTTTCTTATCCTGTTGTGTATTATTTCTTACAAAAAAGTTGACGGGGCTGACAGGAGTGGTTTTAATATTGTAACATGATAGAGATTTCTGGATGTTCTTTCTGTTGCTCTCTAAAGACTCCATTTTGTTCGGATTATGACGAAAAGTGAAGTTTTTGTTTTTATCTGAACTTTCCTTTCCAGATGAATTGAAGTATTTCCAATGCAGAGCATTAATAACCAGGTAATTTACGTTGGTTTTGTTGTTATTTATGTTGCTGTTTACGGTTTGTTCCAAAGCATTTGTTTCGTATCCGACATTATTCAATTGTTGTTGGTCGAACTGATTTATTCTGTAATCTCTGCTGAAGGGTTTTCGCTTTCTGTGCGAAATACTGAGTACTGTGCCCATAATTAACACTTCAGAAAATTCGCAAACCAAAACACTTACTGGTTATGCCTGGAGTTGTAACTTACAGAAAGTATTCAAGATGGAAGGCAGACCACGACGTTGACGCTGCTCCTGTGATTTCATAACTGAAACCAATGCGAGAATTAACGTACTTTTGAAGATACCGATACGGGAATAAGTGCTACGATTCGGGAAGTTCAAAGATATCAGTAGGTAATAAAACACAAACTTGTGAACATTTGGATTCCTGATAAAAGTGCCTCTCTCTCTCTCTTTCTCCAGTTCGTTAAATAAGTGGATCTAAATAAGTTGGTTGCTATAGCAACGGTACACAGAGACTGCGTGTAAGCGGTAGTCAATAGAGATGATGTCACCTTGGTAATGAATGCGTTGACCCAACATCCACGGTTTCATATACTGATATGTAAGGGTTGATCGATATGTACAACAGAAGAGGTAGACTGGTTACAGACTTGAAAGGTTAATTATCTGTTACAAGTTAAATATGAGTTCGATATTTTTAATAATCACTTGATATATGATGATAAAGCTAGCGAGTAAGATCTTACTTTTGGAACATGTAAAATGTTATTAGTTTGTTGACTTGAGTTTTACTCAGTCTTTAAATATGATTTTAGAAAACCAATACATGAAAGAATATTCGAAGAAAGTGATACAAAATTAACAGTTTACAAAAAAAAAGATATTTCAGGTGTGAAAGATATCATTTAGAGGTACGAGTGTATTTCAGGTGTGAAACATATCATTTAGATGTACGAGTGTATTTAAGGTGTGAAAGATATCATTTAGATGTACGAGTGTATTTAAGGTGTGAAAGATATCATTTAGATGTACGAGTGTATTCAAGGTGTGAAAGATATCATTTAGATGTACGAGTGTATTTAAGGTGTGAAAGATATCATTTAGAAGTACGAGTGTGTTTCAGGTGTGAAACATATCATTTTGAAGTACGAGTGTGTTTCAGGTGTGAAAGATATCATTTAAATGCATGAGTGTATTTCAGACGTGAAATATATCATTAAAAGTATGAGTGCTCAGATATTCCTTCAGTTCTAAAAGTATTAAATATCACATCTAGTTATTAAAAGTACTCTGGAGATGTCAGCCCAAGGAAGTATCAAAGTATACCAATTGCCAGAAGTGTCAGGGTAATTACAAACAACAAACAATCATACATAATTCACAAAGAAATCGCTACACTATTACAGGCATCTTCTTAGCATTCAAGCATCAAAACAGAGTAACTTGACGTTTAAACCTTCATATTGTCGTGAATCAATAGCTATTATAGGGGTGATTTTAAATATTGAATTTTAAAACATTATTTTTGGAACACAAAGGGTCAAATTTAATTAAATACATATATATATATAATTGTTTTTTTAAGTATTTGTAGTAATGGCAAAGCTATTAAGGCTATTTGCCGCTGACCCTAGTTTTTAACTACAGACAGATGGAAAGCAACCAGGCAACAGCACCCTACCACCAATCATGCACGTTAAGGGATTAACTGTCACTCTTATAACGCACACACAGCTTAAAGTGCAGAGAATATTTTGTAATATCACACGATTTCGAACCCGGCTCGCCAGCTATGAAATGCAAAGTTCTTTCACAAGGCCACCCCACGTTTTTTTTAAAGAAAGAATGAAGTGAAACGTTTATCATTTTTTTAACATTAAAATAGTCTTAAATGTTCTCTTGTCTTCTCTTGAAAATCCAGAGAAGAACTGCGAGAAGAGTATATTAAATGATACCTTTTGTTTTGACAAAATGTACTTATAGCGTACAATTTATAGTTATTCTACTTGACATACCCTTCCAACGCACGAGGAGATCAGATCCGAACTTCATGAGGTCAGGATTAATGAAAATTGGCCTAGCGATTCGTCAGTTCTAAGTTTTGTCAAATAATGGTTTAGCGAGATTAAATTTAGAATTTTTTTTTAGTTTAATGTTTGTAAAAGAAAGTTAAAGATCTAGTAACAGTGTGTATGTTCTTCTAGCTCTAAATACGTGTTTTTTGCTTCAGTGTATATGTTCTTCTAGCTCTAAATCCGTGTTTTCTGCTTTAGTGTATATGTTCTTCTAGCTCTAAATTCGTGTTTTTTCTTCGTTCTTAGTTTACATGAGGTTGCAGAGCATTTTTTTTTAGAATTTCATGGCTTCGGTTGTGTGAACCCTGCATCTGCTCCTCAGTGACACAATTTTCTGAGTCATCATTACAGTTCTTTGTTTACAGTTGTTCCCCACACCGAGACAGCCTTTTTGTAGCGCTCTGTCTTGTCAATAAAATCCAGCCAAACAAATATATGTCTTATACAATATTTTCTTTTACAATTTTTGTTGAATTTAGTTAAGTTTGTTTACATTACTTGCTTATAAATCATATATTTCAATTTCACATCGTTTTCTTCAGACAATGCCTAGCGTGTTTCATCTTTAATGGTCTATGTTAAGAATTAAATAATGTCTTGTGTTGTATGTTATACATCTCTTGTGTTGCGTGTTATACATCTCGTATAAGCTCTTCACTTTGTTACCTACACCTTTCAACTTGGCATGGACTGGTGGTTAGGGCCCCTGCATGGCCAGGTGGTTAGGGCACTCGACTCGCGGGGTCGAATACCATCGCTGAACATGCTCGCCCATTCAGTCTATGAGGACGTTAATATGTGACGGTCAATTCCACTTTTTGTTGGAAAAGAGTAGCCCAAGAGTAGGCGGTGGTTGTTGTTGACTAGCTGCCTTCCCTCTAGTCTATCACGTCAAAATTAGGAATGGCTAGCGCAGATAGCTCTCCTGTAGCTTTGCGTGAAATTCAACAAATATACAAATATATGCGAGTATTCTTATTCAAAAATACATACTGCAATATGTATAGTAGATCACGCGATTAAAAATATTGAGGTATACGTTATTATTTACATAAGAAAGCTGAGAACTAGAATAACAATTACATTATAACCGAACGATAGACGTCTTGAAGTTAAAAATCGATTCCTTTAATCCAGGATAAATTGTAGAATAAAACTGCTACGAATAATCTGAAAAAAAAGAAGACATAAATGTTTCAACGTTTTTATCTTTAGTGTTTGTTTGTTTGTTTTGAATTTCGCGCAAAGCTACACGAGGGCTATCTGCGCTAGCCGTCAATAATTTAGCAGTGTAAGACTAGAGGGAAGGCAGCTAGTCATCACCACCCACCGCCAACTCTTGGGCTACTCTTCTACCAACGAATAGTGAGATTAACCGTAAAATTATAACGTCCTCCACGGCTGAAAGGGCGAGCATGTTTGGCGTGACGGGTATCTTTAGTGTGTTAATCACTAATTTAAGAGTTTCAGTTTTGTTGTTTCTTCTCTTTAAATCCACTTTATTGTACCCACGCTGTTTACTTGTGAATTTTTTCGATCCTTTAATTTGTAGTATTTGAAAACAAGACATCCGCAAGTTCTGTTTGTTTGTTTGTTTTGAATTTGGCGCAAAGCTACACGAGGGCTATCTGCGCTAGCCGTCCCTAATTTAGCAGTGTAAGACTAGAGGGAAGGCAGCTAGTCATCACCATCCATCGCCAACTCTTGGGCTACTCTTTTACCAACGAATAGTGGGATTGACCGTCACTTTATAACACCCCCACGGCTGAAAGGGCGAGCATGTTTGGTGTGACGGACTTTAAAGTATGTAGAATTGAGAAAAAACAAAGACAAGTGTACGTTTCACAAATACATCATTTATTAACGACCATGGTTTCGCCAGTAAAGGCATTATTAGGTACCATGTACAAACGGTTTCACGCATCATTTATTTCAATTATGTATTGATATGAACAAAAATAAAAAATAGCGTATTTCATTTGCGTATTAAACGTTTGGAATCAAACGAGTGTATTCCTTTAACAATTGTTGCTATGTTAGCTTCAAGCTTTATTTATACCTGTTCTATAATAATCGTGTATAATTACAGATGACTTACGTTAAACTGTGATGTATCTTTCTAACACTTAAAATTTGTCAAGTTGATCGTATAGCAGAGAGTAAAAAGAATGCATTAAAGTGGGTGAAGCTGAAGCGTAAATAATGCATTAAAGTGGGTGAAGCTGAAACGTAAAGAATGTATTAAAGTGGGTGAAGCTGAAGCGTAAAGAATGTATTAAAATGGGTGAAGCTGAAGCGTAAAGAATGTATTAAAGTGGGTGAAGCTAAAGCGTAAAGAATGTATTACAATGGGTGAAGCTGAAGCGTAAATAATGTATTAAAGTGGGTGAAACTGAAGCGTAACTGGTGTACATATCACTTATCTAACTTTGGAGAACAAATATAACATATATTAAGATTCATTGAAAAGAATAGTCACGCGGTTGAAAAATTTACGATTGCAACCCTTGTTTTTTGAGCTATTGAATGATTTTCATGGGCAAAACATCTTCAGGTATTTCTAAAAGGCCATTTTCTTGATCTAACTGAGTGTTGAAAATCTTACAAAGCATACCTCAAAATCCTTCTCTGTATTTAATGAGGGAGTTGTGTTTTATTTGAGTACATATTAATATACATATCGTAGTAAGAGCACGAATGTAAATTCTGGCTTATAAAGAATTCTTGCTGAAAAGTCTTAGTTTAGCTGAATTCTGCCATAGATTATTTTGTGAAGTCTGAAAAGAAAAACCTGTAAGCTTCATGGCTCATAGATGGCAGCACGTTATTGAGTAGCTTGTGGAAGTTAACCCATGATCTCAAGATGGCTGCTGAAATAATTTGAATATTAGTTATAAGCTACTGGTATAAAGGTGACATATGTATATAGTAACATACATTAATATGTGTATGTGTTTGCACAAAACCATTCATGAATGTTCTATAACACGAGTGGATCAATCACACAGAGACAACTGTTAAACGTGTCTATGGAAGTAAAGACTTTGATCTCAATGACTCTGCGATATGAAGTTAACTGTGATTATTAACTTGAAAAGTATTATTGGAAGATACGGTGCACCTGTTATTTTAATTTGTATTAGGAAGAGGTAGTGTATTTTCACGAGAGAGGTAAGAGTAGCGAAGAAACTCACACTACATCTGAATGAAAACATTATTTTACCAGGCGTTTTTACTAGGAGTATTTCAATATATTTTAATTGGTTCAAATTGAAATATTTATAAGTGGGCACAATTACCAACAGTTGATTAAATTCACAAACAGTAGCTTGAATATCATATCAAACGTAAAATTGCTGTACT